GTAGCCATGATTATATACATGAACATAGCATTGTCAGATATAATTGTTTGTCTAGCCCCATGAAAAGGGTATGTTTTTGCAAATTTTTGAGTTTACAGTATAATTCATTAATAATTATAAATTTGAATATTTGATTCAGTAATAAAAATGTACCATTTTCAAATTAAGGAGTAGTTATATGTACAAATTCTACTCTAATGTTCCTCTAAATATATTATTTCAGCAGACACCCCATTCTTTAGTGTGATTGTTTCTCAATATTTCTCCTTATTGCAGGTAAATACCTATTTTTCATCTACAACTCACACAAATAGAATCCCACTATTATTTAAAATCTGACCAGACCATCTGTTTTTTGTTTTCATCTCCATGGGATATAAAAGATAATTTTTATGACAAATGCGTTTATGTTTTAGCTGAATGCTCCATGATTAAGAAGTAAAGACGTATTTTGCAGAAAAATGTATTTGAAACCACACCAGGGAAAACAATTTGGCTCTCACTTGTAAAGGATACAAACATTAACATTTTGGGTTTAGACAGAGTTCTGTCTGGAGAGGTGAGTTTAATTTACTTAGAGGATCAGAGTGGAACTCGGGAATATACAAAGCGATGTCACAACTGTATTCTCAAACAGGACAGTATCTTGTAGCAGATTCCTCCCATCCCAATCCTTCTTAAGTAATGCCACCTAACTATAACCCCTATAAAGTCAATTGGGTATGAAGCCAGGTATTTAGTTGTCCAAGATAAAGTTCAAGAAACAGACTTTTTTCAATGGGTACTCTGTGGGAGTCAATGAAACCATTCAGATACACAAAAGAATGGGTTAGGACTTCTGGAAACCCATCCATAACATGCAGCAGAGCTTTCAAAACTTACTGCCAACTGAAGCAAGTCAAGAAAGAAAACATTTCAAATCCAATATAGCATGGGTGATCCCAAGACTGAAGATAGATGATAGGAAATGGGAAAGCTATGGCTTCATTAGTTGCACAAAAGGCTGCCAATGAGCCATTTTTCCATCAAGGTAATCTGGCTATTTTATTTTTTTTCATTAGACATAAGCACTGGGTGAGTTTAACTGAAGGTGGAATGGTTGCTGGCTTTGCAACAATGGAAATTTTATATCATATTAGAGTAGTCAGCAAAACAAAGGGTCAAAGGGTAAATTCCTCTTACTACAACATGTTTTCAACAGTTGAACCTCACCCTTGTGATTAGCAAAACTCAAACAGCTGATAGTTGGAAGTGGTGAGGAGGAAGAAAGAGGAGGGAAGTTATGGGTGTGTCTCAAAGAAAATAGTGTGGAATATTTGCAAAAAATGAAGTGAAAGAGTCTGAACATTGCCTGGTCTGCTGCTGAGAGTTCCCCTTTTCATTAGTGGGAGGTGTTCAGTTCCTCTGGGAAGAATAGGCTCCTTGTTCTCACATTGTTCTCCAAAGCTACTCAGAGATTTATTTCACTTAATGCTGTTTATCCTTATTTATTTTTAATCCTTCTAGGGTGGAGGTGGGACGCCTTACAAAGTAGGGAATTGGAAGCATGAGAGTGTGACCCCCACTTCGGAAAATAAACAGAAGAGATTATGGGGCAAAATCATCATTTTCCTCTTGAACAAAGGATGATCATGGTAAAGATAGTATTCAATTAGAGTCTGAGATGTAAACAGCAGCATCTCTTGTCCAATGCTTCACCCCAGAATAGTCTGACTCAATGGTCTGTGGAGACAATAGCAGCTGCCAAGTCTTGGTCAAGGTGGTAGTCCCAACGTGTAATGCCAGCCCCTCAACACTACCCCTTTTCCCCAAGCTTTGACCTACTTATCGTAACAGAGGGGCAGGCATTTGGCTTAGTAGTCAAGACACCAGCTAAGCGTATGTCCCAAAGTGAGGTACTTGGGTTCAATACTAGATTCCTGCTCCTGATTTCAGCTTCCTGCTAAAATGCTAACCCTGCAGGCAGCAGACGATAGTTCAAGTAGTTGGGTCCCTGCCACCCACATAGGAGACCTGTATTGAACTCCTGGTTTCTGGTTTTGGCCCTGGGCATTTGAGGACTAAATCAGCAGACAGGAGTTCATTTGCCTCTCGAATTGAAAAAAAAAAAAAAAAAGATAACTGAAATGTAATTAAAAGCTCTCAGCTTTTATATATTTCTTCAGGCAGCCTCTAGGAATGCCTGATAGCCTTTTGGCACCATTTTGTGGGGAGCAACTTGGACTAGACTAAGTTACTGGAATTAAGACTTATTCTATGCATCTGCTTTCCCACAATATGGCGCTGAGAAGGGAGTAGCAACTTCTACGCAGCTGCCTCTCGCTAGCTTGGGTGATGACCTGCAGGAGCTGATCCTGCTCCTGATTGCAGGAGAGCAGCGTACTCGGCGTGTGGGTAGCAGAGTTGGGATTGGTGGAAGAGGACTATAAAGGAAGAGAGAGACAACATGCACCAGGAACATCTGAGGGAACACCTGTGCAGCTCCCGAGAGAGCCGGCCGGCGGTGTGCTGCTCCCCCGCGGAAGTGGGGAAAGTGGCTAGGGGGAACCGCCCTTCCACGGAGGTGGAAGGGACAGTAGCCAACCCGGGAAGAACCAGCAGCAAACCTGGGGAGGGCCGAGCAGACAAAAGAACAGCGCAGGGTCCTGTGTCGTTCCTCCACGAAGACGGGGAGTGACATAATGGTGCCGTGACTCGGATATGAAGCCTAGGCAGGGTTTAGTGTCATTCCTCCATGAAGAGGGGGAGCGACACATTTGAGCAAGTCATTTTGAAGACTGGATAGACAGAGTCAAAATTCTAAGAGTAGGGAAAGCACAACCTCTGTGAAGTTGAATTTAGTACAAAATCTTAAAATGGTATTTGGAATGGAAGCATATCAATAATATACATTTGTATTTCTCAAGTTTGTTGTTGGTTGTGTTTTATTTTAAGACAAAACCACAATGATACAGACAAGTGTAGGTCAGCAGGCCAATATGAAGTGTCTGAGTTGGTATTTTGGTAACTGGCAGAAATTCTTAGATTTTGCTTGTAAAGGATACTACATTCAAGCCTTCCTATTACTTAGGAACTTTATTTCATTTTATCTGCTTGTTATACCTTAAAACAAACCCTTTTCTCCTACCCTACTTTTATCTTACAATCTTTGTGTTTCTGCTCAGTTGTTTCTCTTACCAGGAATACCTTCTTTTCCAGCTTCTTGATTCTTTCCTCTGCTTCAGATTCTATACCTCAATTCCCATCAACTCAAAAAGCCTCTGATCCTACTCCAGGCTACTCTGACCTTCTCAGCTCCAAATTATTACAATTTCACACTTACATCTCAAAATGCATTGTTTTATTAAAACACTGTCTTTATTATTCCCTACCTGTTTCGTGGATATTTCTTATTTTTCAAACTTGTATAATTCTTTTGTATTATCTCTAGTGCCTATCCTGATGTGTTTATTAAGCACTCATTTATACTTACCAACTTGACCTGAAACCCTAAAGCTGCTTCCTGAAAATCATGAGGTTTCCCATGATCATTTTTAAACAACAAACTCATCATCATTATCAGCAAATATTTATAGATTTCTGTAAGTCTCAGGCACTAAGGTGGAATGCCTATCATTTACCAATGGACTTTACCTTTCAATTGAACTTCAGAGTTAGTGTACCCACTGTTAGAGAACCACAGCACCCACACCATTCTCCACCACCACGGTCTGAGTGGTACCAAGAGCGTCTCTACATTGGACGGAACTACAGATAGAAGCAGGCAGGCAGACTGCAATTACTGAAGCTGGAGGAGGGCCAGGAAACTTGGGAGAATGCCCCCAATTCCTGTCGGAGATTGCATGGATAACCACAGCTGGCCAGAATCTGCACTTCCACGTATCACCCTAATAAAGCCTTGTGCCTATAGCAAAATAAGGCCACTCACAGGGGGAACGGTCACATTCAGAGGTTCTTGAAGAAAAATGTTTAATTTTTTCATTTGTTTGTTGGCAAATTTATGAGGTCTACTGTAAGTATCCAAAGCAAGTACCACAATGTTTCTGGCAGAGTGCGTTGGAATAGAATCTGAAATGTATCCTGTTTTGCTAACTTGAAAGCATTATCTCTCTAGTTATATAGCCAGGGACTCATTCTTTTTAACATTAACTTGTCCTACAGTAGGATTCAACTCTTCTTTGGGAAATGTGGAGAGTTCCATGGTGTGTTTATGTGTATGTCTCATGCATATTGAGAGGCCAAAAAACTAATTAACTACTGTTTGCCTAAACTTTCATAAAAATTCATCTTTCTGAGTGCCTCTGGATTATATTAAGCTATTCTGTTCACACATATACCAGGAAAACATAATTTTAGTCAGGTCTTCCTCTCTGGTCAAGTAAGTGAAGAAAGTACTGGTGAATTCTGAATTCAACTTTTTGGTATATTATAGCACTCAACGTCATGTTTCTTCCTCAGATGTAATGGAAGCAATTTAAGCATAAAGATAAAGATATGCCAAAGATTCATACCTATGACTTATATAATTAGGCTGTACCATTACTTGGAAAAAAGTTATAAAAATGTTGGGCTTCCCAACTGAGAATGTAGGTAAGAAAGGTCTTTTTGAGTCTTCAAAAAGTTTGGGGGTAAGAAAGGTTCTTCACTCTCCTTTTGAATTTCAGTTTTTTAATCACATACCACCAATTCTATGCATGTGACACTTCTCAATAGTAAGAAGGAAAAAAGCCATTTATTTGGGTACTCATTATAGAATGTTATTTCAATTTACTTTAGACTTATTTTTAATCAAATTGATGACTAGATTCTCATGGATCTCCCTAACCCCAAAACCTCCTTACTTCCTGACAAGCAGTAACAACATATAACACGCCCAATTCACTGTTCTGCAGTCCTTACTTGAGTCCTAAGCTGTTCACATGCTCAGGGGTCCTCAATGTTAAATGCTTTGGCACTGATATTTAAGAGAGCTCAAAACACACAGCCCCAGATTTCCTTACTTCCGACCAGTCCAAAGTCACCCACTGAGGTGGGCATGACTGGTTGTTGCAGGGCTCTTTTTCGATGGGCCGATGTGTTAAACAACCACTGGAGTCCAGTGTCTCCTCCTCAGAAGGTCCGATCTTCCTGATGCACAGCACTGCCCTTGTGCGCATTCCACCGTCACAAGTCTTGCTGCATTCCAACCAGTCCCCAATGAACCACCTGTGGCAAGTGGAAGAAACACATAAAAGCATTTCCCTCAGTGTACCCAGAGCTGTTCTGCTGAGTGAAGTCACTGACATGGACTTCATCCTTTATTCAGAAGGGTTGACATTTCGATGTTGCTCAATACGACAAATAGCAAATGGAAGAGCTGCTAAGGAAAAGATCTTTTCACGTCAATTGCCTTTTAAAGTGTAGTGTATGGGCTTTGTAGGTTCAAACAAACAATGCACTGTGTGTTTTTATACTTTGATTTTTCCCCTTTTTTATTAATTTCTTTTTTTAAAAAAATATTTATTTTATTTATTTGAAAGAGTTACAGAGAGAGGTAGAGACTGAAAAAGAGGTCCTCCAACCACTGGTTCACTCCCCAAATGACTGCAATGGCCAGAGCTGAGCTGATCTGAAGCCAGGAGCCAGGAGCTTCTTCTGGTCCTCCCATGTGGGTGCAGGGTCCCAAGGACCAGGGCCATCCTCTACTGCTTTTCCAGGCCATAGCAGAGAGCTAGATTGGAAGTGGAACAGCTGGGATTCAAACCAGCACCCCTATGTTATGCCAGCCCTGCAGGCCGGGGCTTTAACCCGCTGTGGTACAGAAATTTTTATTAATTTCTAAAATGAGGATAACAATGATCAATCTCATAAGACTGTCATGAGGAGTAAATAAGGTAATAAATGCAAATCTCCAATGTCCTGATAACAAATGGCTCTCCATGGGAGGAAAGAGTTTTGATTCAAAATGTTTGCCAATTTTTGTAGTGTAAATACCTCACTACAATCAATTTCAAGTAAGCAGCTTGACATACTGAACATGAACAAGAGAAGATACACTAATAATAGAGTCTCACAGATCAGTACCAATTGGCTTCAGAACACAACTGAATACTTCTAACATAGTGTCTGGCATATAAGAAACAACAAGACAAAGTAGCTATTTCCATTCATATTCTACTGAGCCATATTCTCCCATAGTTGAGGATTTTATGCTTAGATAAACTTAAAGGACCTGGGAATTTGTTTTCCAGCTGCCAAAAATGGAATTCTATGACAACAGAAGACAAAGACAGAGAAGGCTCAAGTATCCAACCTGAAGACATGGGAGTCTTAAAACACCTTCACTTTCCTCAAAAATAGGGCCCTGAGCCAGCCCCTGAAAACATGGGAGATCCCGCTTTTATCCCTTTGCTTCTAAAAACAGCTTCTACACAACTAATGTGGGAAGGAATTCAAAGGTCTTAACAAAATGAACACATCTCACATTTGTAGGTATCTTAGTCCTTTTCCCAAATCAAGGAACTTTCATATATATGATTTCAGGGTTTTTCTTGATAATACTCTCAGGACTCACTTTCTTAGACATATTAATTGGTCCAAGGAATGTGAATCATGATTCAAATCAGGCCAATAAGAATTCTGTGTTAGGGGGCCGGCACCCTAGCTCACTTGGTTAATCCTCTGCCTACAGTGCCGGCACCCCATATGGGTGCAGGGTTCTAGTCCCGGTTGCTCCTCTTCCAGTCCAGCTCTCTGCTGTGGCCCGGGAGGGCAGCAGAAGATGGCCCAAGTGCTTGGGCCCTGCACCCGCATGGGAGACCAGGAAGAAGCACCTGGCTCCTGACTTCAGATAGGCATAGCACCGGCCGTGGCGGCCATTTGGGGAGTGAACCAACGGAAGGAAGACCTTCCTCTCTGTCTCTCTCTCACTGTCTATAACTCTACCTGTCAAATAAAAAAAAAAAAAGAATTCTGTGTTAGAGGAGCAGGCATTTATCCTTGTAGTTAAGATGCCCACTTCCCACATTGGAGTGTGTGGTTCAATTACTGGTTCAAGCTCCTGATTCCAGCTTCCTGCCAGTGCAGACTCTGGGAGGCAGTGGTGATGTTTTATGTAACTGGGTCCCTGCCACCCACGTGGGAAACCTGAACTGTGTTTACAGGTCCTGGCTTTGCTCTGCCTGGTTCCACCATTGAGAATTTGGCAGTGAACCAGCAGATAGAAGCTCTCTGTCTCTGTCTCTCTGTCCCTGTGTCTCCTCCACCAGACCCCATCTTTCAAATAAAAAGACTTCTAAGAATCCTGTGTAAGAATTTTTATATGTCAACTGGAGTTTTAAAAAGGATCACTTTTCTTTCCAGTTACAGAAATGTATAAGGAAATGAATGTGGAGATGCTGGTGGCCATGTCCCCTGTTAAGTGGAAATAGCTGATTTGAAAGAATGCAGAGGCTTAGAAAATCCTGACAGTGTTTCAAGTCTTTAATTCCAGACATTCTGCAAGGTAGGTCCACTCTTAGATTTCCTTCAGCCTTCTTACATATATGGAAGCTAACACCAGTTCAAGCTTTTGTTATTTGCAACCAGAGTCCTGACTGATATATTATTATATTATTGTATTTAATTTAACAAATATTTGCTAATTGCCCACTTTAGTCAAGATTTTGGGCTTTGTTTTTTATAGAAGTAAGATCCAGTGTTAGGGAAACAAATAGCAACCATGGAACTAGGACTAGATTTCCCACCAATTGCTATTTCAACTGGATTTCATTTTTAACATTGTTGAATTGTAGAGTGTAGATCATACGCATGGAGTCATAAGACATTTCTTCAATCCATAACTATAAATCCTGCAACTATCCTCAAAGGGCATGGACATGCTCAAACTCTTGAGTGAACAACTACCCAGAGAAAACATAAAAGCTTAAAACAATTTCCTCAATATTTCCAGTTTTGTATATGGAAGATAATATTTCAGTGAAGATGGTGTACTAGTATTCTAAATTTTAGCCTGCATTTGGCCAAGTAAACTACAATGGCCCTTTTATTATTATTTGTACTATTTGTAATTATAGAAGAAAGCCAGGGGGCTGGCGTTGTGGCATGGTGGGTAAAGCCGTGGCCTGCAGAGTCGGCCTCCCATATGGACGCTGCTTCGAGTCTGATCTGGCTCTTTGCTGTGGTCTGGGAAAGCAGTGGAAGATGGCCCAAGTCCTTGGGCCCATGCACTTGTTTGGGAGACCTGGAAGAAGCTCCTGGTTCCTGGCTTCGGATTGTCTCAGCTCCAGCCAATGTGGGAATTTAGGGAGTGAACCAGCTGATGAAGACCTCTCTCTCTCTCTCTCTGTAACTCTGCCTAATAAAATAAACAAATCTTTTAAAAAAAGAAAAGAAAAAGAAAAAGGAAAACAGCTTTCTCCTACCAAGATTTTAAAAAAAGAAAGCTGCATTTAGAAATAAAAATGTCATAGTTGATCATTTTCTCAAACTTAATATATATTTTGTCAAAATCTAAAAATTTCAGGGGCTGGCACTGTGGCGCAGTGGGTTAATGCCCTGGCCTGCAGTGCCTGCATCCCATATGGGCGCCGGTTCAAGACCTGGCTGCTCCACTTTCGATTCTGCTCTCTGCTATGGCCTGGGATAGCAGTGGAGGATGGCCCAAGTCCTTGGGCCTCTGCACCCACGTGGGAGACCCAGAGGAAACTCCTGGCTCTTGGCTTCCAATCAGCACAGCTCCAGCCACTGCAGCCAACTGGCAAGTGAACCAGCAGATGGAAGACCTCTCTTCCTCTCCTTCTCTCTCTCTTTGTAACTCTAACTTTAAAATAAATAAATCTTTTAAAAAAATCTAAAAATTTCAACCCAATATTCATTTAAAAATGATAATTTAATCCTGAACTTTAAAAACCTGACATTAACTTTTTTTTTTCTGTCAAGTCATTTTCCAAGGTGGATTTAAAGTGATTTTCATATTTTTTCTGTCTTCCACAGATACACATGATCCCAAAATGTTAGTACCATTTTTGGTAAGGAGGAAAATGTATACTGAGAATAATAACTTGCATGCCAGCCATAGTGAAACTCTGATTCAATTTGCAATAGTGATTTCATCATCAAGATTAGGGAATAAAACAGAAATGTGTATAACTCAGCCACAAAAAGTTCAGTCATACCACCTCCAGCCATGATCTCATTAGGTCTCATAATGTAAGAGTGATGGAGAAATTCAAATTAAACACAGGTGCCTAGAGTAAAAGCAATGATTTAGAGTTGTTGCTGTTCTTTGTCACATAGGGTCAGGGCCATCTCTCCCTTTTTATTCTTCAACCTCTCTTTTATCACCAACTGTCTCACTCAGAAACTTAGCCTAGATGTATTGCTCTAGGCTTCAACTTGAAATGTATGAAAGTAGTAGTATTAATCAGCTTCCCAATTTCCTTTCTGACTTTAACTCTGATTTTAGGCTTCATATTCAGTCCCAGTTGCATCTTTATTGCGCATCATTTCATTCCACCCCATGTTTCTCTGAAGACTTCAATCACACCCTAGTTATCTAAATAGGTTTGCAATTTCCACTGCATCTTCTTGTCTCAGTTTCTCCATTCTCCTGTCTAGTTTAAGAAAAACCGCTTCCTTCATCTTCATTGTCCATTTTTGTGAAACTCTGATGGCATTCTTAGTTTTCTTTTCTTTCCTTTAGATTCAGTGGTGAAAATATGAACACACAAGTTCTTGCTGTAAACATCAATTGCTGATTTGTTAATAGCCTGAACAATTACTGGATTGTTTTTTACCCCCACGCTCTTTCCAACCCCCAGTGATCGAACTGTCTTAATCCTCACCAGTGCCTTCATTTCCATTCACTGCCAATGAATAGTGGGATTCATATTTGGGTGTCTGATATAAGAGTGTTTGCTGTAGCCTATGTAATCTGATGTCCTGTCTCAGGCTCCTATTACTACAAACAATAATATTAATTATAGGAGGGAATAAGAGAGACACCATAGAAAAGTTCGCCATAATTTTAGTAAACCAGGATGTTTGAAAAAGCAATCCATTATAAAACCAGAATGTTATTTTTCTCTTTAAAGTGAAATAACAGAGTATACAAAAATAAAACTGACATTGAAGGTTTAGTTGAAAACAGATTTCCCAGCATTTGTCCTGGAGTTAAGGGTGTCATCACCAACTCTCTTTACAAACTCAATTCAATAAAATAATTAAAAAATCTTCAGAATTTGACAATAATCAAAGAGATTCAATTACATAATCTATTGTCTACTTACAAAGACAAAAAAATGTTCTTTTAAAATAAATTTTAGGTAGCTTTTCAAAACAAAAAGTTGATTAAAAAAGAGATTTTGTTCATTCCTCAGCTAAATGGAAAGTGAAACGAATATTAAGGAGAATTCTCTATACCCTAAGCATTCGATAGTCAAACTTTTCTAAATTTTTTTAAAAGAATTATTTTATTTATTTGAAAGAGAGAGTTACAGAGAGAGGTAGTGACAGAGAGAGGTCTTCCATCCACTGGTTCACTCCCCAGGTGGCCGCTATGGCTGAAGCTGTGTCGATCCGAACCTAGGATCCAGAAACTTCTTCCAGGTCTCCCACGTGAGTGCAGAGGCCTAAGGACTTGGGCCATCTTCTACTGCTATCCCAGGCCATAGCAGAGAACTAGATTGGAAGAGGAGCAGCCGGGACTAGAACCGGCGCCCAAATAGGATGCTGGCATTTCAGGCCAGGGTGTTAACCCGCTGTGCCACAGTGCTGGCCCCTCTAAATTTTTAAAAAGTAATGTAGAAGTGGGTGTTTAGCCAACTGTTTAAGATGTTTAAGACATTTGTGTCCCACTTCAGGGTGCCTGGATTTGATTCATGGCTCTTGTTTTTTACCAATGCCCACTCTAGGAATCAGCAGTAATGGCTCAAGTAATTGGGTTCTTGTCACCCACGTGGGAGAAGGTTTGCACTCACAGCTCCAGGCTCCAACCCTGGCCCAGTCCCAGCTGTTGCAGCATTTAAGGAGTGAACCACCAGTTGGGAGCCGTCACTTTTTCTGCCTCTCAAACAAATAAATAAACAACACTTAAAAATAAAAAGCAACGTAAATAAACTCTGAAGTTGTGGTGATTGGGAATGTGTCAACAAATCAAGGAGAATTAGAACATTAGAAAATTCTGCAGACATTTGACTTGTAACTCACAAAGTTAGTAGTGTTTGGGTATAATGGGAAAACTTCTCAAGAAAGTAGCATATCATCATGTGTAAAATGAAGAGAGTTGGTCTACATGATTGCCATGATTCTTTTCAGGTCTTAAATTTTGGAATTTTATAAGAAGGTTGTGATTAATCTTTTCCTAAATTTAAAGTAACTTATTATACTTGTTCATAGGTGAGGTCCAATGACTCAAAATAATTGTTAGACATTTTGCCATAAAAGATACCATTGCATAAAGCTTAGCCCAGATAAAAATTAATCTCTTCCCACTCTGTACTTCCCTCAGCACTTTTTTTTACAGCTCTTGTATTGTATATAGCCATATTTTGTCTTGTACTATAGTTATTTTTAAATGTATTTGCTTAATTCTGTCCTTAGGAAAAGAAACCATTCTTCCCAAAGTACAGTGCCTTTTACATTACAGTTGATTAATAAATGTTTTTAAATTTCAGCTACAGTATTATTATGATGTTTACTTCTCTACACATTTTTAGCTCACTGCTTCTCATAAATCTAAAACCCACAAAATCATATGGGAATAATATTTAGTGTTCAAAGATTCTTCATATGAGCTCCTTTGTAGAAATATTCTTGCTATTAAAACACATACAGTAAAAATTGAACTCTTGGCCTTTTTCTTTGGATTCCTACCCAGCATTACTTCCTTTCCTTAAGATACAGCACCAGCTTCCTAACAGTCATATCCTTTAGTATCAACTCTTTCTTTCCTTTTTTCCAATTATTTAAGCCTATGTCATGGATTACAACATTTTCAATTCTAGTCACTTGGATACTGCACTATTTCTCACAAAAAAAGTTGCTGCTATAACGCTAACTTTCCCTACAAAGGCCATCTCTGACCCTTCAAGGTATGCCAAACAAACACTCCTGTTATTTCTTTATCAATGCTTCCTTCGATTAATCTTTCTTTTTTTTTTTTTTTTTGGTGACAGGCAGACTTAGACAGTGAGAGAGAGAGAGAGACAGAGAGAAAGGTCTTCCTGCCATTGGTTCACCCCCTAAATGGCCACTACGGCAGGCGCGCTGACTCGATCCAAAGCCAGGAGCCAGGTGCTTCCTCCTGGTCTCCCAGGTGGGTGCAGGGCCCAAGCACTTGGGCCATCCTCCACTGCCTTCCCTGGCCACAGCAGAGAGCTGGACTGGAAGAGGAGCAACTGGGACAGAATCTGGTGCCCCGACAGGGACTAGCACCCGGGGTGCCAGCGCCACAGGCGGAGGATTAGCCTAGTGAGCCACAGAGCCGGCCTCAACTAATCTTTCTAATCCCTTGTCATTTTCTTCACACAAGGAAAATCTTACTGTCTTTTATTTTTCCATACTGCACTAATAAATTCTCTCAATATATATCTTTTCATTATTTGAAAAGATACTTCTGATTAAAAAAAGACATTTTGAATTTTAAATTAATGGTATTGGGAGAACAACATTTGAAAATAAATATGGATCGCTTCCACAAATTAGGCAAATATATGAGTATTTCAGAGAGATTAAAGTTTACATTAAGACAAAAAAGAAACTTTGAAAGAATAATATTGGAGTGGGTAAGACATTTCTAAACATGATACCAATAAAAGAAATAAGGGGCTAGCATTCCCATATCAAAGTGCTGGTTCAAGTTCTGGCAGCTCTGCTTCCAATTCAGCTCCCTGCCAATGTGCTTGGGAAAGCAGCAGAAGATGGGCCAAGTGCTTGATGCCATTCACATGAAAAACAAAGAGGTAGTTACTGGCTCCTGGTTTTGGTCTGGCCCCGACCTGGCTGCTATGGACATTTAAACACTTATGCTTAGACAACTTAAAAAAAAAAAAAAAAAACTTCAACCAAAATAGGAGAGGTGTAACCAGGCCACTCAGATGCCTTAAATGGCTGATCAAACACCAAACATAATTCTTAAAATCCTAAGTGTCAGGGAAGTCACTTGTTGGGTTGAGACTCACAATACATGAAGTTATTAGAAACATAGGAAGGCACAAAATTAGCTTGAGGAGTTTGAACATAACTTCATTTACATCATTTTTTGGCAGAAAATAGGAAAGGAAAGCAATTAAATAAAGCACTTTTGCAACACATATATAAGTCACATTTCCAACTTTCTCTTTTCTTAAGGAATTAGTTACATAGTGATCACATTTTGAAAAGAACAGACATAAAATTACACAAAACTTTGGTCATGCTACATGTCTTGTGCTCATTATTTGGTAGCCACTACCCTAAACCTTTTCCAGAGAGTAGTAGTGAGTCTTCCTTAAATATTCAACTGTTCTTTTTTCTGTTCCAGGTTTTTGTGACTTCACTTCAATGTGGTCATTTTTCAAAAAGGACTACTTCATAATAAAATTCTCCTCTCCAGTCTCACAGTTTGGATTGGGTTAGTAGCTAACCAAGGGGATAAGGGCTACTCCAACTTTCAAACCAGAATGAAATGCCACTCATGCAGCTGTCGGGCGGGATCCCTACAAAAATCATTTTTGTCAAGATGAATTCAGCATTCTGGTCTTTTTTTTTTTTTCACACCATAGATTGCATTTTTCTCAATCAAGAAACATTTTTGTCCTTATAGATAATAGTCTAGGCTGGTGCTGTGGCTCACTTGGCTAATCCTCCACCTGTGGCGCCGGCACACCGGGTTCTCGTCCCGGTTGGGGCATTGGATTCTGTCCCGGTTGCCCCTCTTCCAGTCCAAGTCTCTGCTGTGGCCCGGGAGTGCCGTGGAGGATGGCCCAAGTGCTTGGGCCCTGCACCCCATGGGAGACCAGGAGGAAGCACCTGGCTCCTGGCTTCAGATCCGGCTCCTGGCTTCGGATCAGCGCAGCGCCGGCCATTTGGGGAGTGAACTCTCTGTTTCTCTCTCACTGTTTATAACTCTCTTTCTGTCTGTCTCTCTCTCTCTCACTGGCTAACTCTGCCTGGCAGAAAATTAAAAAAATTAAAAAAAGATTATAGTCTACTTTAAAGTTATCATTAAAATGAATGGGCTCTCTCTATATGCCTCCCCTTAGCAGGAGTTGTAATTGCTATAGTAATCAATCCTAAGAGACTGAAATATACCCCTGTGCCTGTGCCTAACACTATAAAGATAGGATGTTTTACAATGACAGAATTAAAACTAGGTCAGCAAATGAAGGTACTAATATTTCAGCATATTTCTAAACCTTTTACAAGTCTTTAGGACTTTAGCATATACATATAGTAAAGACTTCAGTCCAAACAAATCACCATATTTTATTAAATCAAAGACACCATTACTTTACCGTACTAGTAAGAAAGTGGGAAAATGCCACTTACTATCTAAGACATCATCAGTTCAAGATAAATCCTAATTTCAGATATGTTAAAATGTGCAGATGTGTGCCTTGGAATTGAAGAAATACAACCATTCCCAGCACTGTGTCAGGATCAAATTCACTGAAATTCCTGCTTTAAAGAGGTTAGTAACTGAAGCCTATGGAAAGGGACATAAAAATTCCACTCTCTATGGTGTTTTTTCCTTTTTCTCAGCCTCAATTACTTGTATCATATGAGCGTGTTTCTAATTTGAAAACATAGTGTTTCTTTGCACTTGAAACAAGTAATTCCCACTTCTTCCTCTTACTTACTCAGGTGGGCAGGGCTCAGTGTTGCAGGTTCTTTGATTTTCAGGTGGCTTACTGTCGGGGTCACAGTAATTGTTCTGGACAATAGAGTTGTCATCCAACCTTTTACAGACCACCTCTTGTCTTTGGACACCTTGAGAAAAGGAGGACATCATTATTGAAGAGCAGTTTATCTTCCAGTAAGTTAGGTCTGCATAGCTTCCCTCTGTGGGGGATCAACCTCACTGGATCGCTGCTGTCTTATCTGTTCCAGATACACTTGCCTGCTTCTCTAAAAAAGGAGAGAAGTCCTGGTCATTACACTGAAATTTTAGGCAAAATTATTATTCTCATATTTAGAAACATACTGCTTTCAAGTGCAGAAAAAAGACTACTGGTAACTTTACACAATTAGTATTTCCATTTCTACATTCTTCTCCATGCTAAAAGAAAACAGGCTTCAATTTCCCAAAATATCATCAGATAAAATGAATGAATATATGTTTCAATACAAAACAATGGCTGTATGTTTATTTAAAATTAAAACAATAGGGACAGATTTACTTTTTGATATTTTATAGGACACACCCCGTCAATTTAGTCTTTGTTAGGAACACATCACATCACAGCCACACATTTCATTTTTTCTTCCATGTACACCTCTTTGAAAGTTTAGTATTTAAAGATTGCAGTGAGCCTTTTTAAGACTGTAACCAACTAGTCTGTTTGCTCTAACAGAGTTGGCCCCTGTTGATTAAATCATTGTCAAACAATACATAGTTCATTCATACATTTATTCACAAAATGCTTATCTCATCTCAGAAATTAGTCTATGTGACCTGTTGGCCACAATGAAAAATAGTCTCATTATAAAATTCTAAGTATATGTTTATTATTTTTGATAAAATATCCATAACAGCTCTCTCACATTTCACAGAATATAAAGAGACATACAAACACACACTCTTATTTGTAAACATCCCTGGTGAACAGACGTTTTGTATACTCATATTCTCTTTAGTGTCAAAGAACTAAATGAAACAGATGAGCAATGAAACAAGATACCAAAGAGAAATAAATCACACTGTAAGATAAAGCTAACTGTTTCAGATCATATAGACTCAAAGGTAACAGGTTACTCCTAGAAATGAAAATAAAAGTGAAAACTAAGCTATTCTCCCCAGTCACTCATACCATCCCTATAAACAGGGAAGTTCAATTACCCAGAAAAAGTTGTAAAAAGCAGCATGATCCAGGAAACCACAGCTTCACACCTAGCTTATCCCACATGATCCTTCAGTTGTTGTTTCTCTTTTTTTCTACTTTGCCTTTTAAAAAGAGTTGTTCTTAAGTTATAGTACACTTTAAAAAAATAGTCTGATCACAATTAGAGAAATCCATGTGACATAGGATCATTAAGCAAAGGAAACCGATACCTCAAGAGCTGTACCAAATGCTTCCCCCAAGGTCCCTTGGGAGTCATAATAATTCTGCAGGTGGGGGTGTCCCAGTTATCATGTTATGCACACCTTTAACTAAGCTGTTTGAATGTAAAGATTGGCAGGAAAAACTATATTAAATCCACTAACCTCATAAGATTTAAATCCTCCAGTCTCCACATAGTGGTAAATAGTTGAAAAAGATATTTTTGCTTGTTTGCAATGACCCAAGGCTCTTACTGATTACATTTAAGAACAAGTTTTTACATTTTCCTAATTTAGGGGTCTAAAACAAAGACAAACAATTTACTGGTAAAACGTCTTAGAGTATGTATTGTATTCAGTTCCTCTCAACTCCTAGAATAGAACAAACAACTTGGTTTATGTGATGACAACAATTTGGAATTTTTCAGCTATTAAAATTGGATTTTTGAGGGAAGAATGACATTCGTTAGCTACCTCTCCACTGTGTCATTCCAGTGGGCAGATAAGTACGTTCATGTGGTCCACCTAGACAGATAGCTTTACCCTTAGTCAGGATCCAACTACCAACTGCAACAGTGGCTCAGATTATTCATTCACCCTGGTTCAATACTTTGCTTCTACTAAGGGCAGCAAAAGATTGTTTTTATAGGTTACCGTACTTATTTTTTAAAGTAATTCAAATATGACTATATTTGAAACAAGAATATTGTTATCCAATAGAATATTTTGGTTGTTTCACAGAAAAGAATAAAGTATCTTTAAGCCTACAAAATGAAACTAATGTTTTGTTTCAGTGACAGAAATATTCAATTTCTTCGGGTTAAAATAAAATTCTACTTTCTTTAACTCTAGAAATGCTGTTTGGCTATAATCACACTTGTTTTCAAAAGTAGCCTATAAAGAGGTGATGGTGGTATAATGGTGAGCACAGCTGCCTTCTAAAAGGAGCCTTTAATGTAAAAACAGGGCCTTTGCGATTTGAATCACAAATGAGATTAGTAGAGGTGAGATTTGCATTTCATTTTTAGATAAATTCTAGCTATATGTCACATCAAAAAATTTTGCTGTAACATTTATTGTTAAAAATTTTGAAAATACACAAAACTGATAGTCTAGGACCATGGAGCTGATGGTGCCTGCAAGTCACAAGTCCAGTTCCCTGTATAATACTACCCACCTACTTATCCATCAAATAGGTCCCTTCCAGGCGGGTCTCCCTTACCTGAGATCTGGTGGGAGGGAGGCACCATGTGAACAGCCATTCCTCTTCTGACCTCATAAAAGAAGCCAGCAATTGGGAGAGGGCACTTCTCTCTGAAGACCAAGAACTAGAGACAGGCTGAAGGTACCTTCTCTTTAATTACCCTCCCCAACCGCTTTCTGCCTCCGGCCCACTCCATGCTGCATCTATGCACATACAAGTGTGTTTGCTTTCTCATCTTTTCAATAAACTTTATCACTTTGTGTGTCGTATATGTGCCTGTATTTAGAATGCTTCTCTAGGCAGAAGGCAAGGACTTGGAACAAAAACTAGACCCCACTTCCTCCACTTCAAAAACACAAGGAATAAAACTAAGATTACTCATGGTACTATAGCTTTGTTCCTGACCTTTATTTTGAGGACTATTTTGCTATTTGGTAGGGTCCAGTGATTAATTTAAAATTAAATAAATACAAACCCAAACTGCCAGCTAAATGCAGTTGCAGATCATTCATTCATTTACTGATTCATTCATTAAACTCCTAAGCACAAGAAACGATGAGAAATTGGGTGAGTGCTAAGAAGTATAAACTGCCTTAATTTTGGTCATGTTTTCCATCATTCTTAACACTTAGGAGGAATTAAGGGTATTTGGGAATATATTTCAGCTTCGTAATTTCAGAATGTTATTTTTCTATGAAGTAAAAATTAAAAATTAAAGTTCTCAAGTAGACAGCTGAAATTGCCCTATATTTTTAAAAAGATGCATTTTCTCTTGCTTTCATCTTTTATCACTTTTCTTCTAGAATGTATATTATACAGCTTGGTATTTCACACTCAAGAAATAAACCTACTAGTAATCTATTTGGAAAGTAGAAAATACTGATCAACTAGAAATCACCTACATTAAACCAACAAAAGAAATGTCTGAGTTTAGAATCTTTTTATGTGATCAAATGTCTTGTACATAGCTTCTTTTAAAGTAGTCTGTAAAATATTTCTAAGAAGTTGGTTTTTAAACCTTGTTGGAAATAATTACATCTAGGTACATAAATCCTCCCTCTTTTCAAGTCTAAAGACTTTCCGGTTATAACCTAAAATAAAAAGAATGTTCACATGATCAGTCAGTGTACATCTAATCAAAAGTAATATTCCAGTGGTCATATCCCTTGGAGATAGGCAGATGTTCTGTAAGATTCAATTGGTCAAACTTAAAACTGTACTAGTTATATTTTAAACACTTAAAGTTACTGGCATGCAAATTCTATACCTGTTTTTAACTGCAATAAAAGTAATGGTTTCATATTATAAAAGTAAAATACAAAGATGCCATTGCCATAACATATTTACCTTAAACCCTCTAAAAGGTGAATCTTTTCAAAAGCCTTTTTATTTGTTTGTCTTTTGAATCCTTTGAATCAGACAATATGATTGTCTGATGATTTTTTTTTTTTTTTTGACAGGTAGAGTGGGTAGTGAGAGAGAGAGAGACAGAGAGAAAGGTCTTCCTTTGCCGTTGCTTTACCCTCCAATGGCCGCCGCGGCCGGCGCGCTATGGCCGTTGCATCACGCTGATCCGAAGGCAGGAGCCAGGTGCTTTTCCTGGTCTCCCATGGGGTGCAGGGCCCAAGCACTTGGGCCATCCTCCACGGCACTCCCGGGCCACAGCAGAGAGCTGGCCTGGAAGAGGGGCAACCGGGACAGAATCCGGCGCCCAGACCGGGACTAGAACCCGGTGTGCCGGCGCCGCAGGCGGAGGATTAGCCTAGTGAGCAGCGGCGCCGGCCGTCTGATGATTCTTAACATGGAAATGTAACTCTCACTTTTTGTGTACAAATTTGTCAGATCCTATATTTAATTTTCTGTCAATAGTTAAAAGTTAAAGATCTTTTGTCTGTCAAGGGTTCTCTTTATAATATAGAGAGGAGTAGCAGATTTAAATTGCTCTTCTGCCTGCATATTAAGAAATGGCTTTAATTTTGAAATTGTATGGGCCACAGGCAAGTAAGCAAGAAGCCCACCAAAAAAGAAATGAATCCTGGCAGGAATCCTTCATCTGCTATTCTTACTCCAGAGAAAGAATGCCTGATGTACTCGTAGAATGAAGCAATTCTATAAGTTATTTGCAGCATGGTATTTGTCGGTATGTTGCTTTTCTCCAGTGGTTCACTACTTTGAGTAGAAGGAGGGCATGCCTAATGTACAGAAATTACCAGTTGAATTTAACTTGAAAGAATAATAGGTGTTAAATCAAGAGAAATGGAAGTGGGTGGTTAAGAGCAGAAGAAAAATCTTCTGGATCTTCCCAGATGTACGTATATGACCCATCATTTCAGTCCTAGACGATTCAATTGTTAAATGGGCAGTCTGTAACCACATATGACTGAGTCATTAAGGCAAAGGAATATAAATATATCCTTGGGATTGAGGAGCTAACCAACCTCCAGATAATTGACTGTAGTGGCAAAGCACATCAAGTCTACCCAAGAAACCTTTTTTTTTTTTTTCAGACAAAATTGAGGGAAAAAA